CTGCTACCACGCCTGGCTAATTTTTGATTTATTGTAGAGATGAGGTCTCGCCAAGTTACCCAGGCGGGTGTCGAACCCACGGACTCAGGCAATCAACTCACCTCAGCCTCCCAAAGCGCGGAATTACAGGCTGAGCCACCGAGCCCGGCTTACTTTCATTTCAACATGAAGGATTTTATTTATTATTTCTTCTTGTATTATTTGTCCTCCATTCAGTTTTGAAGAATATTTTTGTTAGATATAGAATTATTGGTTGGCAATCTTTCTTTGAGTGCCTTGAACATGTTATCTCAATGTCTTTTGATCTCCTTGGTTTCTGGTGAGAAATCAGCTATTAATCGTAGTGAGGATTCCTTGTGCTAATGAGTCTCTGTTTGCTGCTTTCATGATGTTCTCATTGTCTTTGGTTTTCAACAGTTTTGTTACTACATGTCTGGGTGTGGCTGTCTTTGAGTTTATCCTACTTGGAATTTCTTGAGTTTCTTGTGTGTATAGATTGTTGTTTTTCTATCAAATTTGGGGAGTTTTCAGCCATTGTTTCTTCAGATGTTCTTTTAGCCCCTTTCTTTTGTCTCCTTCTGGCACTTCCATTACGTGTATGTTGGCATGCTTGATGGTGTCCCGTAGGTGTCTGAGGCTTTGTTGGTTTTTCTTAATTGTTTTTTTTTAATTTCTGTTCATCATGTTAGACAATTTCATTTGACAGCTTCAAGTTCACTGAGTTTTTCTCTTCTGCCAACTTAGAACTGCTGTTGATCCCCTTTGGTGAAATTTTTTTTTTTCAGTTGGAGTCTTACTCCGTTTCCCAGGCTGGAGTGCAGTGGCATGCTCATGGCCACCCCAGCGACGACCTGCTGGGCTTGGGTAATCCTTCCGTTTAAGCCTTCCAAGTAGCTGGAACTGCAGGCATGCACTATCACGCCCAGCTAATTTCTTTTTTATTTATTGTAGAGATGAAGTCTCACCAAGTTGCCCAGACTGTTCTCCAACTCGTGGGCTCAGGCAATCCCCTCACCTCGGCCTCCCATGGTGCTGGGATTACAGGCTTGTGCTACCACACCCATACACTTGTGAATTTTGTATTTCAGCTCTATTGTTTTTTACTCCAGAATTTCTGTTGGATACTTTTTTATTTCTTTATTTAATATTCTCTGTGTGGTGAGACATTGTTCTCATATTTTTCTTTCATTATTTAGATATGATTTCCTTTAGTTTTTTGAATATATTTAAACTTACTAACCTTAAAAACTTTGTCTATAAAATTTAACATCTAGGCTTCCTTGGGAACAGTCTCTGTTGACTGATTCTTTTCCTGTGACTGAGCCATCTTTTTCATTTCTTTGCTTATCTTGCCATTTTTTTGTTGTTGTTGTAAATGACATTGAGTTGTAATTGAGTTGTAAAGTAATTCACACCCGTAATCCTAGCACTTTAAGAGATGGAAGCAAGAAGATTGCCTGAGCCCAGGAGTTTGAGACCAGCCTGGGCAACCTAGCAAGACCTCATCTCTACATTTTTTAAAAAATGAGCTGGGCATGGGGGTACATGCACGTACTTTCAGCTACTTGGGAACCTGAGATGGAAGGATCATCTGAGCCCAGGAGATTGAGGCTACAGTAGCTATAAGTGTGCTGCTGCATTCTAGCCTGAACAACAGAGTGAGACTCTGACCTTTGGGAAAAAAAAAGGAGAAGAGAGAAAGACGGGAGGGAGAAAGGGATAATATAATGTGGCAACTTTGACTATCACATTTTTTTACCCCCACCCAGGGTTTGTTGTTATCATTGCTCTTTGCTTGTTTAGTGATTTTTGTAAACTCATTGTGTATAGTTTTTATTCTTTTTTGACTGTGGCTACTGAAGTCTCTGTGGTTTTGTGGTCAGAGATGTCCTTAAATGCTTGGGACCTTTTCTTTAGTCTTGCATCCTTTTCTCTGCCTTTGCCCTCACATGTTCACATGGAAGCTCAAAGTCAGCCAGGGTTGAGAACTTATCCTCGTATCGTTCATAGGTGCATGTAGAGCCTGCACACATGATGCTGTCTAGATTCCCAGGAATGTGTTGGAGCTGTTCAAACTCCTTGAATGTCTCATTCCCAGCTCTTCCTTTTAGGTTTTTGACCAAGTACTTGTTTGCCTCCTGTTAGTGCTACCTCCTGTAACTGAAATGTTAAAAGTTGTTGCTGACTGTTTTCAATAAAAGTTCCTGGGGAAATGCTGTTTGTACTGAGTGAGGTCTGAGTTAGCCAAATAATGTCAGTTCTTTGAGACTGGTGTTTTGGGGGAACTTCTAGGCTATTCTGCCCCCTTTAGTGGCTGCAAGGCCGCTGATTTCACAGTTTCCATTATTTTGAAGCTGTTGGTTTTTAAGACTTCCTGTGAAACTGGGCAGAGAATAATGAAAATAGGCCAAATTAAAGTGCCACAGCACTCACTGTTTAGACCAAGATTCAACCATTTTTCTTAGAAAAAAAAACTTTTCAGATTTTTGTAAGCCTTTAATTTCAAGAGTTCAATTCTAAAAAAGTTAATTTTGATCATTTTTACCCAGCATCCTTTTTATTCTTATGGAGGAGCAGCTATTTGGAGGTTCTCACTCTGCCAGTTCCCACTGATGTCCCATCACATGCTATTACATTTGACTTTTCCTCTTGCCCCTTTTGATATGTCGCCTTTTCTTTCTCTCATTATAAGCTTTCTGTTCTTAATTCAGTTTATTGACCAGTTTAATTTTCTTTTTTTTGAGTTGGAGTCTCACTCTGTCGCCCAGACTGGAGTGCAGTGGCCACTCCCAGTCACCGCAGCCTCGACCTGCTGGACTCCGGCTATCCTTCCGCCTCAACCTTCCGAGTAGCCGGAATTACAGGCGCACACTAATTTTTTTATTTTATTGTAGAGATTTACCACGCCTGGGTAATTTTTTAATTTTATTGTAGAGATGAGGTCTTGCCTGCCCAGGCGGGTCCCGAACCCATGGGCTCAGGCAATCCACTCACCTCAGCCTCCCAAAGGCGCGGGATTACAGGCTGAGCCACCAAGCCCAACTTATTGACCAATTTTACACTTGTGGTGCCTCATCATTTTATTTTGGTAGAGGTGCTAGGCTTGAAATGTTTTCTCTCTGCCTTTTCTGCATGTGTGAGAAACTTCAGCTTTCACATCTAGTTTTTAAAAAATAATAATCTGTGTTTCCAAGGTCATCTGGCTTATTGCCTGGAAGTACTGAGATAAGCAAAATAGCCCTTGAGCTACCAAATCTAATTTTTATTATGTCTGTAATTATCTTTCTAGAATTTTTACTGGATCTACCAGATTGGATGGAAATGCAATAGGTATGTATTTGACTTACTGGTGACAATTACAGAAGCCTTGTGTTGTTACTGTCTAACTGTTACTAACAAGGCTTTGCGTGTGTTGTTGGGTCTGGCCTGTAGTTGACTTTGTCCGCTGGCTGTGTGCTGTGTCCATGGATGAATTGGCTTCCCCCCACCATCCTCGCATGTTCAGCTTGCAGAAGATTGTGGAGATATCCTACTACAACATGAATCGAATCCGACTGCAGTGGTCCCGAATATGGCATGTGATTGGAGATCACTTCAATAAGGTAATTCTTCAGATTTAAAAACTACTCCATTGGTGTAAAAAAAAATGTAGGTGATTACATTCAAAAAAGAAGTGGTGAAGGCTGGATACAATGGCTCATGCCTGTAATCCCAGCACTTTGGGAGGAGAGGTGGAAGGATTACTTGAGCCCAAGAGTTCAAGACCAGCCTAGGCAACATAGTGATACAAAAAAAATTTTAAATTAGCTGCGTGCGTGTAGTGGCACACACCTGTAGTTCCAGCTACTCAGGAGGCTGAGGAAGAAGGGTCACCTGAGCTCAGGAGGTCGAGGCTGTGGTGAGCCATGATTGTGTCACTGCACTCCAGTCTGGGCAATAGAGTGAGACCCCCAACTCAAAAAATAAATAAAAATAAAAAAGAAGTGAAAAAGAGTTGGCCCTGTTTTTTAGGTGCCTATAATTCATTTTTCCTTTGGAGTCAAGGACAACTTGATAGGAGTAACATCATATTTATGTATTGAAATAATTCATGTGGAATGATTTAAAAATCCAGTAGTGTTGAAAATACTTTAATATTCCAGCTGAAGGTTAACACTACAAAGATCATCATAGTCACTGGACAGACTGGTACTTGCAAGCATTGTGAAATCCAGGAGACATTCGTTTTTGTTTTTGTTTTTGTTTTGTTTTGTTTTGTTTTGTTTTGAGTTGGAGTCTCACTCTGTCGCCCAGACTGCAGTGCAGTGGCATGCTCCCGGCCACCACAGCCTTGACCTGCTGGGCTCCGATGATCCTTCTGCCTCAGCCTTCCAAGTAGCTGGAACTACAGGCGCATGCTACCATGCCCGGCTAATTTTTTGCTTTATTGTAGAGATGAGGTCTCACCAAGTTGCCCAGGCGGGTCTTGAACCCGTGGGCTCAGGCAATCCACTCATCTCAGCCTCCCAAAGCGTGGGATTACAGACTGAGCCACCGAGCCCGGCTAAGTTATTTTTTCTTAGTTCATACTCCTGCACCTTCAGCCCTTTCTCCAGGATTTCTTCTGTTGGCCCCTTGAACTGTGTAGTTTACTTCTCCTGATGCCAAAGGATCTGACAGTGTGTCTAGCTTTGGAAAACACAGGAGTCTGGGCTATGAATTGTTCCAAAACCTTGGCTGCCCAGGTCAGTCTGTCTCCACTCTCCCCTGCACAGATATTGAAGCAGAGCTTGCAGATACAAAGTTCCCACAGGGGGTTCTCCTTTTCACCTTTATCCTGCACCATGATGGAGAACAAGAAGAGAAAGTCCTGGAGGCATTCTTTTTTTTTTCCTTTTTTTTGAGTCAGAGTCTCACTCTGTTCCCCAGGCTGGAGAGCAGTGGCACAATCACGGCCACCCCAGCGTCGACCTGCTGGGCTCAGGCGATGCTTCCACCTCAGCCTTCCAAGTAGCCAGAACTAGAGGCTCTCGCTACCATACCCAGCTAATTTTTTGATATGTTGTAGAGACGAGATCGCACCAAGTTGTCCAGGCTGGTCTTGAACCCCTGGCCTTCCTCTCTCCCGGACCTCCCAAAGTGCTGGGATTACAGGTTTAAGTCACCACGCCTGACCTGGAGACATATCTTTTTTTTTCTCCCATTCCCCTGGAGGCATTCTTTTTTTTTTTTTTTGAGTTGGAGTCTCACTCTGTCCCCCAGATTGGAGTGCAGTGGCCGCTCCCGGCCACCGCAGCCTCGACCTGCTGGGCTCCGGCGATCCTTCCACCTCAGCCTTCCGAGTAGCTGGAATTACAGGCATGTGCTACCACACCTGGCTGATTTTTTTATTTGTTGTAGAGATGAGGTCTCGCTGCCCAGGCGGGTCTCGAACCCTTGGGCTCAGGCAGTCCACTCACCTCAGCCTCCCAAAGGTGCGGGATTACAGCCTGAGCCACCAAGCCCGGCTCCTGGAGGCATTCTTAATGGCCTAAGATTTAATTATGTTCCATAGAATTTTGCTACTTAATATCACTTCTTTCTTTTTTTTTTTTTGAGTCAGAATCTCACTCTGTTGCCAGACTGTAGCGTAGTGGCATGCTCACAGCCACCACAGCCTTGGCTCATTGGGCTCAGGTGATCCTTCCGGCTCAGCCTTCCAGATAGCTGGAACTATAGACATGCACCACCACGCCCAGCTAATTTTTTGATTTATTGTAAAGGTGAGATCTTGCCAACTTTTAAAGTTGTAGTAAATGACACATCAGATGTTTTATTTATTCCATATGTGTGTGCACGTGTCTGCATGTATATAACAAAACATATTATTAAAAAAATTTTTTAAATTAGCTGGCCAGGGGTTCAAGACCAGCCTGGACAACTTGGTGAGATCTCGTCTCTACAATATATCAAAAAAATTAGCTGGGTATGGTAGCGAGAGCCTCTAGTTCTGGCTACTTGGAAGGCTGAGGCGGAAGGATCGCCGGAGCCCGGCAGGTCAAGGCTGCGGTGGCTGGGAGCGGCCACTGCACTCCAGTCTGGGCAACAGTGAGACTCCAACTCAAAAAAAAAAAAAAAAGAAATAATTGATGTGAGCTGGGCATAGTGGCTCATGCCTGTAATCCCAGCACTTTGGGAGCCTGAGGTGAGAGGATTGCCTGAGTCCAGGGGTTCAAAACCAGCCTGGGCAACTTGGCGAGATCTCATCTGTACAATAAATCAAAAATTTGTCGGGTGTGATAGCGCATGCCTCTGGCTACTTGGAAGGCTGAGGCGGAAGGATCGCCGGAGCCCGGCAGGTCAAGGCTGCGGTGGCTGGGAGCGGCCACTGCACTCCAGTCTGGGCAACAGTGAGACTCCAACTCAAAAAAAAAAAAAAAAGAAATAATTGATGTGAGCTGGGCATAGTGGCTCATGCCTGTAATCCCAGCACTTTGGGAGCCTGAGGTGAGAGGATTGCCTGAGTCCAGGGGTTCAAAACCAGCCTGGGCAACTTGGCGAGATCTCATCTGTACAATAAATCAAAAATTTGTCGGGTGTGATAGCGCATGCCTCTGGCTACTTGGAAGGCTGAGGCGGAAGGATCGCCGGAGCCCGGCAGGTCAAGGCTGCGGTGGCTGGGAGCGGCCACTGCACTCCAGTCTGGGCAACAGTGAGACTCCAACTCAAAAAAAAAAAAAAAAGAAATAATTGATGTGAGCTGGGCATAGTGGCTCATGCCTGTAATCCCAGCACTTTGGGAGCCTGAGGTGAGAGGATTGCCTGAGTCCAGGGGTTCAAAACCAGCCTGGGCAACTTGGCGAGATCTCATCTGTACAATAAATCAAAAATTTGTCGGGTGTGATAGCGCATGCCTCTGGCTACTTGGAAGGCTGAGGCGGAAGGATCGCCGGAGCCCGGCAGGTCAAGGCTGCGGTGGCTGGGAGCGGCCACTGCACTCCAGTCTGGGCAACAGTGAGACTCCAACTCAAAAAAAAAAAAAAAAGAAATAATTGATGTGAGCTGGGCATAGTGGCTCATGCCTGTAATCCCAGCACTTTGGGAGCCTGAGGTGAGAGGATTGCCTGAGTCCAGGGGTTCAAAACCAGCCTGGGCAACTTGGCGAGATCTCATCTGTACAATAAATCAAAAATTTGTCGGGTGTGATAGCGCATGCCTCTGGCTACTTGGAAGGCTGAGGCGGAAGGATCGCCGGAGCCCGGCAGGTCAAGGCTGCGGTGGCTGGGAGCGGCCACTGCACTCCAGTCTGGGCAACAGTGAGACTCCAACTCAAAAAAAAAAAAAAAAGAAATAATTGATGTGAGCTGGGCATAGTGGCTCATGCCTGTAATCCCAGCACTTTGGGAGCCTGAGGTGAGAGGATTGCCTGAGTCCAGGGGTTCAAAACCAGCCTGGGCAACTTGGCGAGATCTCATCTGTACAATAAATAAATTTTAAAAATTAGCCAGATGTGGTGACGTGTGCCTGTGGTTCCGGCTATTTGAAAGGCTGAGTGGAAGGATTACCTGATCCCAACAGGTCAAGACTGTGGTGGCCGTGAGTGTGCCACTATACTCTAGCCTGGGCAATAGAGTGAGACTCCAACTCAAAAAAAAAAGAAAAAGAAAAAAAAAAATTGATGTGAACTTGCTTTAGAAAGGAGATGCGAATCATTACCATTATTGTACCTTGTATTCTTGTCCAAGCCTTTGATGGCTGAACTAGAGCAAACATTGATCTTTTAATTTATTCTACAAGATCTTTCGGCTAACAGCTGTGGAATTCTTTTGTTCTCTCAGAAATGACTGTCTAAAAGTGGTTTGGTAAACATTTTCCCAACTATTTGAAGTCTAGATTTTGTGTTCAGTGAGACTTCTTTTTTACAAGGGAGCAGTTTGTTCAAGTTAATTTTCCCAACTGCGATTTCTTTTGTCAGGACTCTGCATGCTGGACTCTGCATGCTAGTTCTGTCATCTATGGGCCACCTACAGGCCAGCTTGGGACATAGCTGGCAGATAGTAATTAGATATTTCATAGTCGTCTACTTTGCTAGAAATATCTGTTTCATCTAGTCAGTGCTGTTAAGCACTAAGTCATGGAAAACTCAATTGCTCACTCTGGAGCTCTAAATGTTCTCCACCACCTTGGAAAGATGTTCTGCTTCCCCTTGTGAACTGGGACATGTAAGAATCTTGTGGGTTGCCGGGCTTGGTGGCTCAGCCTGTAATCCCGTGCCTTTGGGAGGCTGAGGTGAGTG